AATAAAATAACATACAATTTTGTGCAGACTACACTTTTATTTGTCAGCCTATCTCTCTTTCTTTCAGTAGCGGAAATTTAAATGTGAGATTCTGGAAACGAGATCTAAATTTAGCGGGAACGGTCGGGTCGGGAAGAAAATTATTCTAAGTGGACAGCGGGTGAACAAAGAATGAATATATAGCGGGAGCGGGTGGGTGCGGAATATAACCTTGCGGGAATGGGACTAAAAAAACAGTCCCGCGCAGACCTCTACTTCAGGGCTCGACAATAAGGACTGCCCGATGGCCCGGGCCAGTGTGAAAAACGATCGGGCCACTGCAGTGTCGTCACAAAAGTTAATCATATGCATGTGTTTTCAAGCCTTGTTAATTTAAAAATTAAAGCGATTTAAAAGCATTCGGGCATGAAAGACTGGCTGTTTTCAGAAAAGTTTACATGCCGTTTTCTTTTTCATCTTGCCTCCATATAATGCATTTAAATTAGAGTTAATACACGCAGCGCTGCTGTGTTTACAGTAGTAACTAAGGAAACGCTGTATTACTGTTACATAAGCACCACCTGCTGTCAGAGAGATAAATTTCACAAAGCTAAAGTCAGGCCATTCTGTTTTTGCTTCAGGTTTTGAAATTATACAGTCTAACATAAATCAAACATTGCACTTTTTTGGGATCAATTCATGATTAAAATGCAGTGGTAGCCTCTAATTTCAAATTATTGAAAAATCAAGGTGCAACACAGAGTGAAGAATATGAAAATGTTATTTTATGTGATTTTTCTGTTTCTGTACCTGAACATCTACAAACATAAAAACCTAAAGCATCATTTTATTTCTATCTTTGTGCTATATTTTTAATTGTGCTTTTACTTGTAATTTGTTCATTTGTTCTTATTTACTGGCTGTTCACTTGTCTTTAATAATGTTTGAACTTTATATTTATATTTATTTTTGGCTAGTGGTTTTTGCTGTGGTATCGAAATTTCAATTTGACACAGAGAATTGTAAAATTTAATTGGTATCTAAAATATTGGTGACATATAAGCTTATTTATTAGAATACAAGATAACGTACAGTAGATCAAAAACAATGATAGCAGCGACTATTTTATTTTTTTGTGGCAGGGCCAGTGCAAATGTTGGCAGGGCAAGTAAAAATTTGAACCACTGGCCCGACCGGGCCAGTAGAAAAAATCCTTAGCGTTGAACCCTGGACTTGTCGAATGTTGATGTAAAAGGATTTTGTGCATCACAACTTCCCCTTCGGCACACGAATGCATTGCAAGCTCACTTACCGTACATCTTTCCCTCGTCCGACAGGATGATCTTGCGCCGTCCGCAGGGCGGATATATAGCCAGTGCCTCCTGAAAGCTCTGCTCGATGTCGGGACTCCACACGCCCTCGGCGTCTCCATCCAGGGCCTTGTCCAGCTCATCACCCCCATCCTCCAGCCCCTGCTCCGGGCTGCCGTTGGCACTCCACTTGTTGGACGCAATAGTGCCGGCTCCTACCGGGCCCTGCCACGAGCCCCCACGCTACACAAGTACTGCGAGAAAGAAACAAGGAAAGAGAGGCAGAGAGAAAGAGAATGTTACTTTATTGTGGACATAAAGATTAAGCTAATAAATCCTCGTTCAAAACCACTCCCTTTAGTCGTGTGCACCCACAGTTTTGGGCACTGGCTGATGAAGACAGCAGCAACTGTGACTCTTATTACTATTTCCTCGGGGCTCCACACGCCCTAGGCGTCTCCGGCCATGGCCTTGTCCAGTTCATCACCCCCATCCTCCAGCCCCTGCTCCGGGCTGCCGTTGGCACTCCACTTGTTGGACGCAATGGTGCCGGCTCCTACCGGGCCCTGGCACGAGCCCCCACGCTACACAAGTACTGCGAGAAAGAAACAAGGAAAGAGAGGCAGAGAGAAAGAGAATGTTACTTTATTGTGGACATAAAGATTAAGCTAATAAATCCTCGTTCAAAACCACTCCCTTTAGTCGTGTGCACCCACAGTTTTGGGCACTGGCTGATGAAGACAGCAGCAACTGTGACTCTTATTACTATTTCCTCTTTTCAAACACTTCCAAAACGACAAATGAATTTTAGAGCATATATAAAGCTCCATTTAAAAGGATTAGATAATTAGGACTAGCCTGCAAAAATGCTTGTGGTCGGGAGCACGCGGTCCAATGTGGCCGTCTAAATGTCTGAAAATGGTTAAGGGATCTTAAGCGTTTTTCAGGCTGCCTCTTTTTCGCATGGTATTGTTCATGAGGATCGGGTCCCAGGAGTCACTGGTGTGCCCACATATTTCATTCTTTTATTTCACTTTCTGCTGATGTTGACGAAAAAACGCAGCTTGGGTAAATACGGCCAACTCCGATTGAGACCTTCCTTTGGGGATATTCAAACGCTCTGGTTACACGCACACTGAAAGAATAAGCTTGACTTGGCAGCCCAAAGACACAGAATGAGCAAAACAACGGCCGGGAGAGCATTGGAATATGTGAGCGGCCTAATTACTTTTCGACATTGCAGACCTCAGACCTCAGCGCAATCTAACGCTGCGGGGAGGACAATTAGTGATGCACTTCCAAATTGCATTTGCCTCTCAGGTGACACGCAACACCATTCATCCCATGTAATCAGGATGGTCACAGTCACTGGATGTTCCCCAGAGAAGTTACAAAATTTCTAATCCTGCAGTAGAACCAACATTTGAAACAATTACGCATTAGTTTCTCAAATATAAACTTAATATCCTGTACAGACTTTTTATCCAGTCACACACTGCAAACATTTAACCTCAAGCCTGAGCTACACTGCATTAGGCCTACAATACAAAACAATCAAAATTGAGTTATAAAGAATTAAAGCAAAATAAGTGTAGAAAACTTAGTGCCACTATGCTAGGGTGCTGTATGTGATTCACAGTGATTTCAGTAGCGCATACTTATGGAATTAACATTCATTTTGTATTTGGATTGTATCTGTATTTTTTTTTTTTAAGCTTTTTTAACCTTAAGGTGTAAAATGCAAATCACTACTTGTTACATGAAAGATTGCATTAACAAACATTTCAGTCATTTACCTTTTTTTTTTTTCTAAACAAAATCCTCAGGAAAGCAAAAAAGAGAGGTCTCTTTGGGAAGAAACATGAGAGAAATAAATTGCAAATGCAATTAAAAGAAATAATTTGATAAATAATGAGATATTGTTGATCAAAAACTGTTGAGCAGCTGTTATTTTATCATAATTTATATACCACTATAGCATATATTAATATTTTGAATTAAATTTTATTTTTTAATATTTTCAGTGTTCATTTTAATTTTAGCTTAAGTTTTAGTAATTTTGTTATGTCCTTTAATAATTTTTACTAGTTTTAAAAATTTTCATTTATATTTATAGCTTTATATTTAACTAAGCTTTTAATTTGCTATTTTAGTTTTAGTAATTTTAGCACGGATGACAACCTATTTTCAGTTAGTTGCCAAGGCAAGTTTATTTTGGGATTTTCATCTAGTTTATTTCAATTAATGAAAATGATTTTTCATTAATATTGGCATCACAAATGGTGTTACCAATGAAACCACCAGCTAAAATCATGCACACATTCATAATCTTTGATTGCTGATCACTACTAACTATATCATACTCTACAAATCTATACGCAGTGATTTCTGCCATGTCACCAAATATAATCACATTATGTGAGGTAACACAAACGAGCAAACGTTGAGTAAAAAAAGACATGACTGCATGCTTTGAAAAAGGTCTCCATTTAGCGTGTGTGTGCACTGGGGCAGAGGGTGAGAGACGAGTGTGTGCATGGGGAGCGTGGAGAAGCCGTTCTATTGGAGAGTTGGGCTTAAATTCCAGACATGTCCTTATTAAGGAAGTACGGCGTTAGTTCTCTCTCTCTCTCTCTCTCTCCCTTATATCAACCGAGCCCCCTCTCGCTCTACCCTCTTCCCCACCCTGCACTCCCAAGCACTCAGACCAAATAAGGAGAGGCGAGCAAAGGATGAGGGGAGGGGGAGGTGAAGGAGGGAGGAGTGCTGGAGTCAAGGGGTGGGAGGGGGAGGGAGGACTGACCAATTTAGACATCCATTCGGAGTCTGAAAAACAGTGGGTTTGTTTTGGACAAAACGCAACATCAGCACGCCTGGGGACTTGAGCGTTCTCTGTACTTCTGATAAAGAAAGAGCTAGTAGTACAGCTAACAGTGGGAAAGTGGCCTGTATGTGACTAATCAATGCAAAAATTAAAACTAATACCAAATTCATATACTATGGCACATTGAAAAACTTTACTGTGAGGTACTTCAAAGACATGTGGTGTTGATATATTAATAACTAATAAATTGATCAATTTTGATTAATAAATATTCATAAAATTAACCAGATTTTTTTGTAAAGCTGCTTTGAAGTACTGTGTACTGTGAAAAGCGCTATACAAATAAATTCGACTTGCCTTGGTATTAACATCATGGTAGAATAAAATCACCATGGCTTATTTTTATGCAAAACCCATGGTACTGTTTTTTAAGTGTGGTAATGAATAATAATCTGAAAAAAAAAAGATTAAAAGTAAGGAGACAAACCAGGAGCTGTAAAACAAGTTTCAAGGAAAATTAAAACAATAAATAATACACATTTTTATTATTATTTAAGAATAATAATACAATGTTTTTAAACAATTAAAATTACTAGTACATTTTAAAATTAAAATTAATAGTAAAAATAATAATAAATAGAAAAATAATTAAAATAAATTATATTTATAAATTGCATACATATAAAAATTACACACATAAATATATATATGTGTGTGTGTGTGTGTGTGATTATTAAAGTAAATTACATGTAAACATGCATAAATAAATAAGTGTGTGTGTTAATGTTTGGTACTTTGGTAAGTGAATAAAAACATTTTTTTTTAATTATTTAACCATGTATAACTGTGTGTGTGTGTGTGTGTAAAAACACACTGACGCAATGCCTTGCCAACAAAGAAAAAAAGGTTTATTTTTAATACTAATTGCAACTAACATCTGGCAGTTCGTTCTCCCTCTATCTCACCCTTTCATCTTAAAGCAACATTGCGAACATGAACTTTCAGTTTCTTTCAAAAAAGGACATGGCAAGTGAGCAAGAATAAAGTCAGATGGACACAACTGCACAACATCTGTTGCAAAACAAACACGCTCATCCTGCAATGCTGAAGGCCATTCAGCTCCATGCGATGAAGCCGATGCAAACACACAAACTTAATTTTCCCATAAGGCAGCTGGGACTTAACTTTGAATGACATGGTACACATATTTAGTCCGACACCGGTGCACAACCTCCTCTTTCCCGCCCTCTCTCTCCCTCCCGAACCAAACAGAGCTCTCAGTCAGTATATAATGCTGAAGAATTTCCATGTGGTCCAGGAATGTAAATAATGCAGTGAAAGCCATGCAGCGCACACATTCATTCAGACGCCCATTGAATGAACACAAGCCATCCCTGCCCACTATCTCACAGAGCTCCAACACAGTATGTATTGTTGTCGGCTGAAGAACTGAGTTGGCTCCAGCAATGATTCTCCGGGTTCACCGGATTCCTCATGATCTCTGTAGAAGAAAGCCCAGGGAAACTTACTTCAGTGTGATCTAATATCAATTACAAAACATGGACTTACAGCCAGTTTTTCCCCAAGCTGACACTTCCAACCATGGAATCTGGCATGGACGTATGGAGGAGTTTTTTGGGGAGGGGGGGCAGAAGTTGCCAGACTATTCTTACCAGAATCATAAAGACTTAGTCATAAGGCCGTTCCAGGAAAGGGGCACTGATTGAGGTTTACTTGGTGGCCTTTTCGGATTTTCCTCTCACAGAGGTTGTTTATGACTCAAAGTCAGACATTGTGGTCACACACAAGATGCACATGTACAAGAATCAGAGGACTGAACAAGAAGTGAATGGTGAATTCATGACTTAGCGCATCAAATTACATAGCTGATATATGTTTTCTGTAGTTATGGTGAAAAGATCTAGAAGATTCAAGTTTCACTGAATTTAAGCTATTACTTCATCTGCAGGCATGTTGATTAAACGGTGGAAATAATTGCTAATTATCATAATAAACTGTAGTTTAAGTATAATTTAGCTAGTACATATTATGTACTGCTGATGAAGAATAGCAATAAAGCTTGGTTTATGAAGAAACACACTTGTGCCACCAAACTACATTTCCCACCATTCTCTGTGACAGAATGAGAGGGATAAAATACACAGATAAAACATGAACCATTATCAATTATGTTGCATTAGTGCTAAAAAGGCTTCCCGTCTTTGCCAGGAAGTGAAAAAGAATGAGAAGCAAGTCAATTAAATTTTAACCAAAACTACTTAAAATAATCACTTATAAATTGTTGTATTTTGAAGCCAGTATATATATATATATATACAGTATATATATATATATACTGTATATATATATATATACTGTATATACACACATGTGTT